GATAATAAACTTTTAAATAAGTCTATTGATTAACTCCATTCAGAAAAACAATAAAAAAAAAACTATCACCTTCTCCTTCTATATAATCATCAAACCCAATAGAAATAACATAATTTTATTTGAAGATGCTCATTTCATATTTTCTTAACTATATAAAACCTTTTTGCTAGCAAAATAAAAATATTTTTTCGATATGAAAAATAATCAATAATCATTTAAAGAATCAATTCTTTTCATTTTTTTTTTAGCAACCAATCACTGATATGTCTTTAATTAATGCATATTTACGACGATGTCTTGCTCAAGTTGTTGTTGAAAAAAAGACATTTAAACGTGATAAACCACATGTTAATATTGGTACAATTGGTCATGTTGATCATGGTAAAACAACTCTAACAGCTGCTATTACTCGAAGTAAGACTATTGTAAAACAAAAGAAATAAATATTAATCTTATGTCTATTTCTTTTTGTTTTTTTTAAATACAAAAAGTTCTTAGTGAAAAAAAATTAGCTAAAGTAAAAAAATATGAAGAAATTGATAATGCACCTGAAGAAAAAAAACGTGGTATTACAATTAATGCAGCACATATTGAATATTCAACAACGAATCGACATTATGGTCATGTTGATTGTCCTGGTCATGCTGATTATATTAAAGTATATTATTTTCAAAGAGAAAAATCAGAAAAATTTTAATATATATTTGATTCATTTTAGAATATGATTACAGGTTCATCACAAATGGATGGTGCAATACTTGTTGTTGCTGCAACTGACGGTGTTATGCCACAAACACGTGAACATCTTCTTCTTGCTAAACAAGTTAATAGAAATATTTAATTTAATTTAATTTAATTTTTAATTATTAATTGTTATTCATATTTGTAGATTGGTATTGAAAAAATTGTTGTTTTTATGAATAAAGCAGATGCAGCTGATAAAGAAATGATTGAATTAGTAAGTTTTGTTTTTTTATTGAGAACATTTGAAATTCGATTTATTCATTAAGAAAAAGAAAACCGATGTATTGTTTTTTCTTTCTTTCATATTAGGTTGAACTTGAATTACGTGAATTATTAACACAAATTGGTTTTGATGGTGAACATACTCCGATTATACCTGGTTCAGCATTATATGCACTTGAAGTATGTAAAGATAATTTATTTATGATTTTTCGATTTAATAATTTTTCTTTTCAGGATCGAGATCCAAAATTAGGTAAAGAATCTGTATTAAAATTACTCGAAGCTGTAGATACATATATTCCTGTACCACCACGAGCTATTGATCAGCCATTTTTATTACCTGTTGAACATGTTTATACAATACCGAGTATGAATTTAAGTCATACAATTAATTTTAATGTTTTTATCTTTGGTTTGTTTTTCTCAGATAAAGGTACTATTGTAACTGGACGTGTTGAACGTGGTAATGCAAAAAAAGGTGATCCAATTGAAGTTGTTGGACATAATAAAATCAATAAAGGAATTATTGGAGGTAAAGAATAGAATATATGACGGTTATGCCAATGTATATGTTCATCTACCAAGGGAACATACAGAACTGTCGGACGCCATCGTTCGACAGTTGGATATATTCTCTTGCAAGTATTTTCTCAATATCATTATGTCTTAATCTTTTTTTAAAAATATCTAATGACCAACTTTAACAAATAAGAGAGTGTGTTTAAGTCTATTCGTTGGAGTTTTGAATTTCCGAAAAAAAAAAATGTAAATGAATTATTTTTCTTTTACAAATCTCACAAAAATAACGGTTTGAATTAGCGATTTTGAAATTCTCAGGAAAAATTTTTATTAATTGATGAAAATAATCAGTCAATATAATTCAACATTTTTTCAATTTCAAGAAAAATAGATGAATGGTGCATCAGACTAAAATGCTAGGATTTGAATAGAAACTCTTTATTCGGGTACATTGCGCAAAATAAACAAAAGTCTGATGTATTTTTGGCTCAATTATAGTAAAGTAAGGTTTGCGTCAAAATATTCAATTGAAATGAACTTCAGTGTACATTATGAGAAAGAGCGTACTTACTAGGAAAGTCCTATGACTGATATACTACTTTTGAGTCGAGACTATGTGCATTATGTAGAGCGAAATGATCTGTGGAGATGCTGAACTTTTATGGTATTGTTTAAATGAATGCCGTGGTCTCCCTCAGAAACATCATAAAAAATGATTTTCGAATTTTGACTTGAAACTTTGCATAGATCATAATAAATTACTCTCGTTCAGGCCTATCTCTATGGAAATTTTCAAGTCGAAATTCCCAAATTAGTTTTCTAGGCATTTCTGAGAGAAACTGTGGCCTTCATTTAAACAACACCGTAAAAGTACAGTATCTCCGCAGCAATAGCCTAAGGTCAAAGACTCTTTTCAGAATATTCACAGTTCATTTGGGGCTACATAATGCACATAGTCTTGACTCAAAAGTGGTTTATCACCTGGAGGACTTTCCTCATAAGTTGTAGTCTGTTTTGAATCGTAAAAAAAATTAATGCATAGCGATATTGAGAAAATACTTCGAAGAACATTTATTCTGGTGCACAAATTATTTTAGAAAAATTGATTGAAAAAAAAAACATTTAATTGAAGGTTTGGAAATGTTTCATCAAACGATTGAACAAGCACAACCAGGCGATCAATTAGGCATATTACTTAAAAATGTTCGAAAAGAAGATGTTCGTAGAGGTGTATTTGTTGCTAAACCAGGCTCAATAAAGATGTATAATAAATTTGATTGTCAAGTAAAATATTAAAAAAAAAATTATCAAATTTTGTTTTATAATTTTTATTCTGATTTGTTTATATTCATTAGACTTATTTCTTATCTAAAGAAGAAGGTGGTCGTGAAGAACCAATTCCAAAAGAATTTGTATTAACTATGTATTGTCGAACATATGATATTGGTGTTAAAGGTGTTGTACCTGAAGGTCGTGAAATGATTATGCCAGGTGAAGATGGAACATTGACATTGTATTCAAGCAAACGAATGGTTTGTTGTTGTTTTTCAAAAGGATAAAAAACAAATATTGCTTATTTTTTTTTTTTGTATTATGAAATATTTAGGTTTTGGAAAAAGGTGCTCGATTTACATTACGTGATGCAGATAATAAAACAGTCGGAACTGGTGTTGTGACAAATATACATCCAGAGCCTCCACCAGAAGAATTGAAAAAATTTTGGAAACGAGCAGCTTAAAAACAAAAAATTCTGTTTGCTTTGTTTGTGTAGGATTGTTTTTTTTTCATATGGAAATTTTCGTCTGTGTAAACATTTTTAAAATAAAAATCAATGGTACACAGAATTTAAATGATAATTTCCATGTCTTTAAGAAAGTACATGTGTGTACGTTGAAAATATTTTCGAATGACTTGACTTCTCTGAAGATGTTCCGGTTATTTTCATTTTTGTATTAAGAAGGTCTTGATTTACCTCGGATAGATTTTTTAAGAATGAAAAGCACTCTTTATTTATAGAATATAATAGGAAAGCTAATTTAGGTAAAGGTTTAATATATAGGTTTTCATTAACTATTGAGTATTTGTTAAATGATACGTTTTAAATAGGCTTATAAAATATATGAACAATGCATATCATTATGAATATATTTATTTATTCTATAAAGTACTATTCAAAATTATAATAACAAAGAATTTTTGATATTTTTTTCTCCTGTGATGCTGAGTATTTAACACAAGTGCAGATGGTCATTTGAATAGCTAATAAAGTTTTTTAAAAAATCAAACACGTTGCGAAAGTTCATTTTTAATAGCACCATCTGACAGAGCCAGTGATGATCCGAAGCAGCCAACATTCGGGACAATGCAAAAAAAAATATTTCATCTGTGCTAGGAAAAAATTAAAATTTTTCATGATTGGCGAAAGAAATATTACATTCCCATGGTCGGATCACCACTGCGAAGAGCACAAAATTATGAATAATAGCACGGGTCATCGCGTTTTTTTTTGCGATCTTCTCTTTTAAAGTTACAAGCATCACAACAAACAGAACAATGCATTTTTTTTTTCAGAGAATTTTTAGATAAATTTTGCTTGTTTTGGTAATGCTTGTAAGAGAAAGTCGTAAAAAACGCGACGACTTCTCGTATTGTTCACAATTTTGTAGTCTTTCAGATGATATTGTTAAAAATGAATTCTCAAAATGTCTACCGAGACATGAGAACTACTGTATTCGGTATTGTAGAAAAACTTTCTCACATAGCCCAACTATGAAACCTTGGTATACACAGTGCATCCGATAGAGAACTTTATTAACTATTCAAATTACGATTTGACTTTGTGTGACGCACTCAGCATCACAGAAACAAAAAATATCACGAATATCTTGTTCTTATAATTTTGAGTGGTACTATGTAGGACATGTCTTTTGGATAGACATTATTGAAAAACTACACATTTTTACAAAGGCTTAATATCTTGTTTAATATATTATTATTGAAACATGTAAGATTTCAAATGCTAACGTTTTTATTTTAACATTAATACGTATTTATATAAGAGAATTCTTCTTTATAAATTAATTCGTTGTGGATGTCTTTTTTTTTTTCTTTAGAAAATAAAAATGAAAAAGAGAAGCTTATTTAAAATGAGATATCTAATTCAAAAAGAAAATATTTCATTATAACTATTGTATTAGTAACTTTTTAGGATTAGTTAATGTCTAAAATTCTTATTATTCATACATCTTTGCTAAAAAAAAGTAGTTATTTCAAAAAATAATAATAGTTAACTAAATTTTTTCCTTTCCTTCAAAGAATTTTCTTCAATTTTCTACGCATCGGTTACAAGAAAAATGAGAAAAAGAACGAGAAAGATAAATTTTTTTTTCTTTTATCCTAGCTACCGTTGACAAGGAAGTCATCGTTAAGGTATGTTATCAACTTATGGCATCATAACGACATTATTATAATATATTAATAAAAAAAAAAGACTTTTTTTTTTTACATTTACAAAAATGGATATTAAATATACTGGTGGTGATTTACCTTGGTCACTTCCATTTGGTGATCATTTTAATTCATCAAATTCACAAGAAACTAGTTAAGTGAAGATATATAGAATTGTCTAAATATCATTTTTTGTTAATTCAGATAGTGAATTAAAAACTATTGCTCATCGACATAATTTTCAAACATTATATGAGCAATTGACTAATTCTAACAATAATTCAAAATGGACAAATGCAGGTGTATTTTTTACTAATAAAACAATTGATTCAAATCTAACTGGAATTCATAATACAGGTTTGAAGATTTGAAGAAAATTTCTAATATAGAAAAAGAAATATGAATATTTAGATTTTCATGATGATCATAATCATACATTTTGTTATTTATGTTCAATAAATCAACATCAACATGAACGAACTAAACCACGTGATGAATCTAAAGTATATTTTTAATTAAATTCATTAGTTAATAATACGTCTAGTTTTTATTATTATTATTAAGAAACGTAAACTTATTCCATATAAAAATCCTAAAGCTCTTTTATCATCATCATCATCATCAGATCGAATACAACAAAATTCTTCACCATCACTTGATTTAATAGCTTATCGATTTATTGTACGAACTGGTACACAAAAAAATTGTGGTACACAAGCTCAAGTAATAAAAATAAAATAAAATAAAATAAAACTGATTCTTGTACTTTTTCTTTTCAAGGTATTTTTATATTTATATGGAACTGAAAAGAATTGGACATCAATTCATTTACGAGGACATAATAATAAAAGTTTATCAACATCTATAGATGGTTTTCCAAGGGGTTCTATTCGAACATTTTGTTTTAAAGGTCCAAATATTGGTCAATTACATCATTTAAATGTTAATGTAAATAATATTAGAGTTTATTGTTAATTTTTTAATTCTTCTTCTTTTTTTTTTAGCTTGTTGGTTCTCGTTCAGATAAAGAATGGTTTTTAAAAGAAATTGAAATAACTAATTTAAATAATGCAATAACATGGTTATGTGAATTTAATTGTTGGTTACCAAAAACTGATGAACAACAAATAAATGAAATAAAACCAAATGTTTATCAACAAACTAAATTATCATTATCAAGTAAAATATTTTAATTAAAATTTATTATAATTTTTATTCCATTATATATATATATATGTAATATATTTAGTTTATATTCTACAAATTCGTACAGGTGAAAAATCCATTGTTGATACTAATACAAATATTCAAATTCAAATTCGTGGATCAGTAAATCAAACACGTCAATTAACATTAATAAATAATCAAACTAATCTATTTGAAAAAAATCAATTAGATACATTTGCAATTGTTGGTTCAGATCTAGGAGATTTATTAGAAATTATGTAAGTATTAGATGAATATTTTTTTTTGCATATGAACAAAGAAATTTTTATTTCAAGTGTTGAATCAGATAAAAATCAATCGACAATGAATTGGCATATAAAAGATATGATAATATGGAGAATAATACCAAATGATGATCATAAACAATCTTATGTTTATTTTCCATTTAATATTTGTCTTAATAAAAAATTGAATAGATTTAAAGGAAATAAAGAAATATATCCATTAATAGATTATCATTTAAAAGGTAATTTCCATTTTGAAAGAAGATTTTTCATGTATTCTTTTTTTTGTTTTTTTTTTTTATATTTCTAGGTCCTATATGTTATCAAGTGATTGTTAAAACTGGTAATGTAACAAATGCTGGAACTGATGCTAATGTTTTTTTGATTATTTATGGAAAAAGTGGTCGTACAGTTATTCATCAACTTAATAATCGATTTAAAAATGATTTTGAACGAAATACAATATCAGAATTTATTGTAAGAAATTATTTCTAACGAAATATTTAACTATCATAACTTTCAAACAAATACGTCAATCTTTAAAAATTTATTTTACTGACGAAAGATTAGATCGAAAGTTTTTTTCTAACTGTATGTTCAAAAAAGTTCTATCATATTTCGTCTTTCAGTAAGAAGCATAGCTTTAAACAGCACTAATATGTGATCTATTGAAAAGGAAATGAATATCACAGAAGGTACCGATCTCATAGTATTTTACGATTTATTTCGGTTCATTTCATGAGATAGTGTTTATCTTTTCTTTTATCAGATTATCATCTCTATTCTCGACAAATCATGCGGAAGATACTATGGAATTCGTTGAGAAAACGTATCGTCGGATTTCTAGTCATTGGCTTAGACATATTTATAGAATGAGTATCTGAAGTAGACATTGCGGGATCAAGTTTTTAGGTGTCGGTGCAGAGAAAATTATTCCAGAATTTATTCATATCATATCTAAAATAATTCTTCAATACGCGTTTTTTATTTATTCAGTTGAAGACTAACATTTTTTTTGAGTCATCTCTCTTGATTTATGCTCTGATTCATAAGATAATTTGCTTAAATATTGTACTATAAAACTTGAGTTCGAGTCCCAACTATTGGGACCGCGACTAGTCCCGCACATGTCTAATCTCAAGTCATTCATAGTCATCATTTCAACTGGTTGTATTAATAACATCATTGTTTTTCAAATTGTCTATCGTATCATCTAATTTTTCTAGCACGCTAAGTCCCAGCAACAGAGTTTAATAGCTAGTATGTTAAGGTACAAGCCTCCGGTGGGTATATAAGAAGAAAAGTAAGCATGCAGAATGTACATCTCTGGCACGAGCCAATTTCATGTTTCATAATCATCGTTTAATAAATCATCAGTTGCTGTTCAGATATGAGAATATTATTATAAATACTGTTCTATCGCCTGACAATACAACTCAAATAAATAATGCGACGATTACATCTATTTTTATTTTCTGTAACATGTATTCGTGGAATTACTAAATATCTTATAGAATATGCATGACTAATTTTTTAAATTTTCTTTTTTATCACACTATTCATATGACTCTATTACTATTAATAAGAATGGTTTATAATAGTTATATAAACACATGATGATGACCGATATCTAATTTTTCTATGCGTTTTTTTTTATTATTATTAAAACATCTGAAAAAATAAAAGAAAATTGTTATTATTAATTATAACAAAAGGCTGATGGATCGATTATCATTTGTTAGGAATCATTATCTTGTCTATATATATATATATGAAATAGTTATTATCATAGATAATAATTATAAAAGTTTCGTATTTAATTGTATCGTTTATTTAGATTATGGATATTGATATTGGTAAAATAGATCGAATTAAAATTTGGCATGATAATTCTAGTCTTGGTTCAGCTTGGTTTCTTGAATCAATAATAATTCGTAAAAAATATTCAACATGTCAAACTATATCAAATATATATATTCAACGTCTTGAACAAATAAGTAAAGCTTTATATCGTCAAATTAATGAACCTATGAATAAAAATTCAATTGATCGATCAAGTTTTAAATCAAAAGATTCAGATAATAGTGGATTTAATGATCGTTTAGGAAGTAGTCGAAGTATTTTACGTAGTCCAACAATATATGATAAAGTTAATTTACGTAAAAAGGTTACATGGGATGAACAAAGTATTGGTTCACAAGATGATTTATTGTCAATGGATTCACAACGTATAAAAACAATGCAAATTATAGATGAACAACAATATAATAAAAATAATTCATTTTATTATGAATCAAAACATATGGAACATAAAATTTATTGGATATCATCACATAATTATATTGATAATAAATGGAAAATAAAATCTATTGAAGAAATAAATTCATTTGATTTTGATTCATCAATACGTTCATTATTACTTTCGGATCGTTCAATAATGAATAATAATAATATTAAAACATCTATAGATGAAAATAATGATGAAATCTATGAATTTCAAGCTAATTGTTGGTTAGCAAAAGATAAACAAGATGACAAACTTGAAGTTTATTTAACACCAAAATTAATTCATAAATCATCATTATCATCTGATGTAAATATTGATTCGAAAAAGAAACATTTCATTCAATCAAATATTCGTTCCGATATTCAACATAAAAAATATGACAATGAAAATAATAAAAAAGAATCAAAATATTCATCTCCATATGATTTAAGACCAATTGAAAAATCTTCAAAAAATTCAAGTTTACATAATCTTCGATTATCATCTTCACATCTATCTAATACATCAAAAACACAACTTCCTAATTCACATTCATTTCAAGAAAATATCAATCCATTATCTCGTTCGAAAACAACATTTAAAAAACACGATGAATCATCAAGAATTAATTCATCGATTGATAGATTTCCTCAATCCTCATCATTAACTCAACATTCAAAATCACCTCGTAATCTTAATGATTTTATAAATCCATTAAGTAGTGAACAAGAACTATTAGCTAGAATAACAACAAGTGAACCATCACATCATCCACGATCAACAATTCCATCTTTATTACCGGTTACTCAACATTCTAAACTACCTTGGAATACTAATGATCGTACTGCTTCAATAACCAATGAACAATCATCATCAATGAAAATTTCAAATCAGCCACCATATCATCCTCGATCATCAACTACGTCAATGCTGTCATCTAATGAAAATATAAAATTATCACATAATAAGCATCATTTTACTAAACCGTTCCCCAATATTCAGGACTCATTATCTAGAATTTCACATGAACTACCAAATCAATTTCGATCAACATCTACTTCACCATCATCATCTAATCAAAGTTTGAAATCATTACACATTAACAATGATTTTCCTAGTCCAATACCTAATGAAGAGGAATTATTAAAACGAATTACAGATGACTCACCATATCGTTCACAATCACCAACTACTTCATTGTCATCATTAACTCCACGTACAAAATTAACTCGTCAAACAAATAATAATCCTACTAATTCATTAATGAATAAACGCGAAAGATTATTAAATATGTCAGTTGAACCACCTGTCAAATCTCGCTCAACAACTCCTTCATTATTGTCATTTAATCATCTTCCAAAATCATCTCAATCAAATAATCAATCTGTTAGCTCAATAACAAAAACATCTATTGAATCAACATTAGGATCTAAATCTGCAAAAAATTCTAATCCTGATATTTCTTTAAAAAAATCTATAAATAGTAGGTACTTCTTTTCTTGTACTTCATTAATAATTATCTTTTTCTACTTTCAATTATAGATCAAGTATACTATTCAGCTTATGGAACATCCCCATTGGATGATTTTTAATCAATATTAATTTTTGTCACGTATTTAATCTTAAGATTAATTTTTTTTTTGCTTATTAACAATATATTGTGAAATATTTTATTTACTTTTAATAAATAAAAAAATAACATAAGTTTTCATATTAATTCAGTAAAAATCTCTCATAATTCTTCTATTGTTTATATAATATCATTCATCAATTAGTATATATACGAGTATATTAAACAAACTTATGGTATATATATATTCGACAGTATATCTTTTGTCAACCGATAGCTGTTATATACAGTCGAAAGAACAAATAAATCATACATCTATGTAATATACAACATATATTGATTTAGTTCACTAATAGGTTGTTAGTATATAAAGTTTCTATACAATATTCTTTAGTAAATTCTATATGCAAAAAAAAAAGAAAATAATCGTCTCAAAAACTAAAGTATTTTGGAAAATGTGTATGGTCAAAAAGCACAAAAACAGAAGAAGAATAAATAATTAGGAAAATTGTTTTTGTTCTAGTTCGATTTTGTAATTGTCATATGAAATATAAGCTTGAATGAATTTATCGATCAATTGCTCATTTTGTTAAATTTTTTACTAAGTTCCAATAAGCTTGATGACACTATTCGCCATCGGTTAAAATGATCACGTCGTATTATTTGTTCATCATTAAGACTAGCTCGTATTTCATTCTTGTCATACGTCTATACTTGTTATAAGGAACAGTAGAAAAATAAAAACAATAGATTGTAGACGACGGAAAGAGAGACAAAACTACTAGTTGAGTTGATGATGATGATGATGATAATAATAATAATGACAACGGAGACATGTAAGCGAGTAGATGATCTTGTCACTCGTTATGTTATTCTACATTCAATTTTGCTTTATTAATGATGATTTCTTTGTCTCTCTCTCCTTTTTGTCTCTCATTCTTTTTTTTTTTGTGGTCTTTTTCTTTTTCTTTTCATCATTTTCCACATAAACAAGAAATCGTCAAATACACAGGAGAAGAAAAAAAAACTGAGAATGAAGACTAACATATAAAAGCGGTGTTTCTAGAGACGATACAAAGTTCTCTTGTGTGATCTTTATATTTGTTTATATAGGTTTATTTAAATAAGCATTTTCACTCTTTCTGTGTCTCTCTCTCTCTCTGTCTTCTCTTGATACGTTCTGTCAATGCAGTTCATTGTTGCATGTCGAATACAACAATTATTTGTATTCAACTAATCATTCTGATCAGTAACGTTATATTTATTCGTTTAACAATTGCTATTAATCAGTGTGATTTATCAAGTTCTATTAATTTACAATGGGCTACATATAGTCATTCATTAATTTTACGTGTTCAACCAATGAAGTTATCTGAACAAAGTTATACAAAAAATATGACTATTGTTAGAAAAGTTCTTGCACGTGAAATTATCAAAATGTCAAGAATTGATCGATATCAAGATCAAATAGTCAAAATAAATGATATTGTCATAATAAAAATTAATGATAACGATAACGAATTTCTTGATGATTCATGTTGGCATTACCTTCGTATATCAACAGTGGATATTATTCTTTTTCTTAATGAAACTAATACTAATGAATTCAATTTACATTATCCACCAGTTGAATCAACACATCGTGTACGACAACATATTGAGGCCGTCCTCAGTCATGGTAAGTGTCTATTAAATATGTAAGACTTGTCATCTTACAACTTTTTTTTTTCGGCCTCAGAAAAACTTATCTATAAAAGAAAAAGGAAAAACTAATTACAAGTTTTCTTATTAATTATATTTTCTTCTTTTTCTTCCCCTTTTTTTTTTCTTTTTCATTATAGAAAGTAAATATGTTATATTGTATTCAGGTGTTTGTATGTGTGCGTGCATTCATTCATTTTTTTTCTCTCTTTATATACAAAGCTAAAACGGAAATTCTTGATGAGATTGATCGACGATGCGGAAATACAGAGTGTCTTGTCACATAAATGTCCCATCACATCCGTTAATAGCCAAAACACAAAAGAAAGTTAAAAAAAAAAACTTAATCGAACTTCAAAATGAATACATGTTTCCACTCACATAAGCAATTAGTAATTACTAATTTGACAATTTAATTCAAATCACTGTTCTATGAGTCATTTGTATGCTCAATCAATTATATGTGTGTCACTTTTAAATATAAAACTTGTCTGTATCTTGTCATTAATGAAAGGGTGGATGTATATCTATACATATTGATCAATATTAATGTGTACACAGCACTTATAAATATATATCTATATCTATCTTTATATATATATATATATATATATATATATACATACTTAAAGTGCATCATCTATCAATGACGAAGATGAGTTGTTCTACTTTTCTGTTATATCATGCTTCCTTGACAAATTTTTGCCATCTATTTGACATTGACTTTGTTGATTGTTTAGACGATGTATATAGCATGTTACTTTACAGAATCGTTTTGCCTTTTGGGTAGAAATGGAAGTGTAAAAGACATTGATTCCTACTATCGTTCTGTTTTTTCTCTTATCGACCAGTTCTATGTCTGGTGTTAGTAGTACGATTATCATCAGTAATATGCTAGCTATCGCATATAGATAGACAGTTATCGTATGTTCTGACATTTTTTTCTTCTCTCTTTTAGAAACATATCCACCCAAAGTTCTAATAAAAACTCGTATAGATAAAGCAATTGTATCAAAAGATTATTTTCTTCAGTGCAATTCACGTGGTAATCCATTACCTCGTTTATTATGGAGTAAAAAAAATGATAGAAACAGTACATTACACTATTATCCAATACATAGACAATGTAAAACATCATGTCGAATTTATTCAATACAGCATAAGTACATTGACATTGTCTTATTAATTATTAATTTGTATTTTAAAATTTCTTCGTTTTTCTTTTTTTTTTTTTTAAAGATATCAATCATTTTTATATTTTCGATCATTAACATTTGATGATATTGGAATTTATATTTGTCGTAAGATTTTTGCAGATTTTTTTTTCTTGAAAAAAAAGAAAATTTTTTTTTAGATGCAGAAAATCCAATGAATCGTACAACGACTAGTGTTTATTTAAATATTAATTCTTATCATCAATCAAATATTAATCTGACATGTTCCAGTTTAAAATATTGTCATAATCATGGACAATGTATATTTATTAATAATCAAATGAAATGTGTATGTGACAATCAATATTTCGGTGAACAATGTGAAACAAATTATGATGATATTATAAAAAAACAAGATTGTAAAAATAATTTTTTCTAAAAAAAAAGAAAGAAACAAATTATATCTAATAATGAGGTTTTTTTTTCTTTTTATTTCTAGCTGCTATTCTTTTATTTCAATCTCGATTTTTGGCTGGTTGTATTCTTTTTTCTGTTGGATTTTTACTTCTATTAATTGCAATTATATCTTGGTTTCTTGCAAGAAATAATAGACGACAACAAAAGAAATTGAAAAAGAAATTATTATTTAAAAAATCAGTTGAAAAACCACTTATTATACCTACTAAAGAAACCAATCTTTCAACAGAACTTAATGGTACCATTCCATCATCTACTTCGATTGAACAAATAAATAAACCTTTTACTCCTTCTCCTCCTCCTCTTCCTCCTTCAGCTAGTGTTCACATTAGTCATATACCCATGTTAGAAAAAAAACCATTAATACATTCTTTTATTCGACGGACAAATGTGCCAGCAGCATTAACAAGAGAATCATCAACTGCAACAGATGATGATGATGATGGTGGTGATGGAATAAATGGTTTTCTACGTCATTATCAAACGTTACCACCTGTACCAACTAAAATCGATGAAGAATATGAAGAACGTTTTTCTTTAAAAATGAATAAATCAGAAGAACTCGGTCTTGGATATTTAACAAATGGAATAAATAATAGTGACCTTGTACTTTCACATAGTTATGCTGATATTTATCAACCAGATCATCAAACAGGTTTAATTAAACCATTACATATTCGAAAAGATCCACCACAACGGTATACAAAATATGTTTCATCATATAGTAAATTTGTTTTACCTCGACCAATTAAATCATCGTCATTAGAATATCAACAATGATAATCATGTTTCTCAGCTATTTTTTTTTTTTGTTGATTATGTTTTTTTGTATTTACATGTTTTGATTCATCTAGGAAGATGTGTTTTCTTTTGTTTTTCTCTCTCTCTCTCTTTCTATATATATATGTCATGCCTCCTATTGCTTTTTTTTTCGTCAAACTAATACAATATAGAAGAATTCAAGGTATTTATTATATTGAAATATATACATTTGGAATAAATACCAAATCCATATGATAAATAAACATTAATAAGAATAGTCGAGAAAAAAAATATATATCTTAATGGAATGAATTAATAACATACGTTATACAATATTTGGATTTTTTATGATTAACATATCAACAAATGAAGTTTTTAATGATAAATATCAGTTTTCAAGGTTTATTTTTTAGAATATTATTGTAAATTTTGATGATCATTTCAACATCAAATAGATAATGTCCGCATCAGAATTACAAAGACGTGTAAATGTAACCTTGATAATTTGATAACGGCAATAGTTAGCAACTCGTTGTTTTCATCAATCGAAAAAGAAGACCTCCGGATGTCTACTTGTCTGATAATATCTAGGATAAAACTATTTTCAAAAAAATGTATGAAAATGATATTCTGTTTCGATGTAATTTTGATATTGATATATGCTTCCGATAGAGATATTTCAGATCTATAGTGCAAAACATGCTTCAGGTGTTTATCTCTTCATATCTCAATGTTGAACAAACAAAATCGCATATTTATTTGATCAAATTATACAAGATTCTTTTGATTGTTAGTAAATATTCTGACTGGTTTGACCTTCTCGAAGTTTATGATTATTGTTCTGTGTTCTCAAAAAATAGGTATTCACCCCTACGGTAGAGAAAATCCGGATAAAACCCTGACCTTAAGGCGAAATATGATTCATCTGCAATCTATTATAGACTACTAAACAAAAGAAATTCTAATAACTTTGTATTTCTTAGCCCAAGGAAAAGACATATGTTTAATTCGAACAATGTATTTACTTTTGTTTGTTTTTTGCTTCATATCAATTCTGAATGCAATGACTGTAATGAATGAGATTAATAAAAAAAAGAAGAAGAAGAAGAAGAAAAATGAACAAACATAATAAGTATTATTTTCGATTTATTAAATCACAATAATAGTTTTTCAATTAGTTGATCATTCTTTCTCAAAATATTTTTTTAGTTAGATTATTAATATATACATATAAGAAAAGAAATAGAGAACTTTGTCTTTCTATTAATAAAAATGCATGACGATCAATCGAAGTGCTTGTCAATTGAGGTTGTCATCAATGCCGAAGAAACGTCGACGATTCAATTATAAAAAGCTGTCGTTGTATTTTACTTCTTTCTCTCTTTTGATCAACGAATTGTGGTTTATTGTCGGGTAATATTGCGTATATTTTTTTTTTAGTTGCTCCTTACTATGAACAGATTCTATTATCGCTCGCATTCGCTATGACTTGCATGCTCATCTGCACACGCTCGTATGATGTTCAAAAAAAGAAAACAAACGACAAAGGCGAGAAGGATCGTTCAATGCCAAATACTGCTGTTTAACAATGTTCTCGAATTTGTTTCTTTCTTTCTTTCTTCTATATATTCTTGTTTCCGACGTTAGCAAACTTGTAGGGTGTTGTCAACAAAAAAAAAAAGAGAGCAATAGCGAAACATCTTCTAATCTTTTATGAGATGTGACATGAGCTTGTGTCCTTGTTTTTATCATCATAGAAATCGTATTTTTTTTCTCATTTATTACTGTGTTGTTGTGTCGGTAAAATCTGAACCGATAGAGAAATGATACTAATGTTCTCTATCTCATGTACATATTCATCGGACTGACCTATGCTATATCATCATTACATGTCATACTCGCTTTAATGAGTATTATTATTGGCATTATTTCACAAAGTCGAGAACCTATTTGGATGGCACATAGTATATCACCATTATGGAGTGGTGTTTTTGTAAAGTTTTTTTGTTTTATTCTTTTACATATCTTATTGTAGTGAATTCTTTTATATACTGTTTCAGTTTGCACTTTGTGGTGCTACAGGGATAATATGTGCACGTCAAAAAGGTCTCTATGTGGTAAATAAAAAAAAAAGAAAATTTTTATTATTTCTATTAATTTAATTTTTGTTTTAGATATTATGCTATGTAGCAATAAGTATTGTAACACTTATGGTTGATTGTGTTAATATTCAATTGCTACGTTTAGGTCTTGTTAATATAATGACTGATGGACAAGCTTATTTAAAAGAAGAAAAAGATTCACTTGTATTTATTGCATTAATTTTATCATTAATTGAATGTTTAATATGTTTATTAAGTATATTTATTGGTATACGATTATCATTTGATGCAGCTAATAGAAGATTTCGTAAAAAAGAAGGAGCTTTTTTTGTTCAAGTGCTATCTGAAAAAGATATTGTTGTCGTATCAAAACCATCATCATCAACAAAACAATCTGTTTCAGCTCGTGAATCTGTTCAATCATTTGATTGATCATCAACATGACAATATATTTATTTCTTCCGCTATATATATATATATTTTTTTTTTGTATTCAAAACAAAGAACAAAAACTATATATCACGCTTAAATTCATACTATATTTGTTGTTGTTCGCAAAAAATTATATAGAGAAAAATCAGTGATGCAAATATGAATTCGAAAATCAAAAGCTTTTTTTTTTAAATTAAATATTCAGATAGAATAAAATATGATTTTTATTTGATGATAAATATCATCTATCACATATGTTCAAGTGTATATAGCGTAGATGAGTAATCTTAAAATATTATATAAAGGTCGTCTTAGGAGGCTACAAGTTATTTGTTATTTTTTCCACTACTTGAACTGTTAAACAAAAATGTGTTCTTATTGTATCTTCTTATGTTTTTGAATTAATTAATTTCATCATCAGAATACTAACATAAAATTTAAACATGTCTAGAACTCTATGATGTTTTATGATTCTAATATACAAAAGACAAATAATACTGTTCAAATTACATTCAAAGAAAATTTCGATGAAAAAAAAAACATTTATGCTATTTCAATATAAAAAGATTTTACTTCCGTCATTCATATATAACAATTCGAAGCAGAGATGTCCATGGGAGGAGGTGCTGCCACCGCCGCGACGGCATCAGCGGTGCGAGAGATATATCAAGAATACCATCGTGGCAGCAGCAACAACTTTTTATACAGTTCATCGCGCCGCGGTCACGATGGACATCGATAAACATTCACATGAATTTTTAGATCTTAATTGAATATTCATTTGATTATATACAAAATATCTAATTTCAATAACATCAATGTTTCACATGTTTATAGTTTAAATACAAATAATTTTTTTTTTCTATTTTCAACATAAAAGAAAAAGAAGTTATTCGCTTGATAATATGAAATATTTTTTGCGGCTTTGATCATGATTATATTAGTACGATAGAAATATATTCAAAAACAGAGAAAGATTTTTCTATGCATTTATTTTTTTGATTGATGTATTGGAATAATCCTAGAAATAAATGAATAATCGGTTTTATTTTTTGTATTATAATTTTTATGATTTTACTTCGAGTTGATGAGCAACATGTAGATTATGTTTCATTGTATCTGGACGTCGACCTCCTCGTCTTGATTTTGTTGGTAACTGCTAAAATAATTTATGTAATAATATCACAAAATAAAAATATATAAATCAAATATACAGCTTGTCGTGGTGCGTTCTTTGTTAAACCATAATGTCCTTGATTATCAAGAAATTCCCAAATTTTCTTATCATCTAAACCTTCAACTGATATTTTTCTCCATGATTCAATAAATTCTAAATAATCAAAATTAATAGTAAAAAAAAAAAAAAAAGAAAAAAGTTGATATATTTTATTTTTAATTCTACCTGGATTAACACGAAGATCATAAGCACGATCTGTATAAAATAAAATATCTTTTTTATTACTTGTTACTTTCACAACGTCACCACTTTTTATTAAACTCTAAATGAAAAGAACAAAAAAAAAAATGTTCAAATTATACAATAAGAAATATCAAATATATATTTTTTTTTAATATACATCAATTATATTATCAGCTCGTGTTTTTGGTATTGTATCTCGTACATCATCAACAGTTACAGCACCTTCACATCTTTCATGTCGTGTTTTTAAAAGATTAAGAAGATGTATTTTTTTTGGAGCTTTTAAATCAAGTGGTGGCTTATATACAAATTTATTAGTATCATCGACTTTTTTAACATCAATTTTTTCATTTGATAAAAGTGCCTAAATTAAAATGATATATAGATTTAAAATTTACAATAAAAAAACAAAAAAACTCTAATTACTTCCGAAGCAAGCCAATGTTTATCCGATGGATCAATTGTAAGACTGGATTCTTCTATAATTTCATCCAATGTTATTGCATCAGTTTGTCCACTAAGAAAACGTTCCTAAACATAATATTTATTATCAATAAAATTTTAAATTTCTTGACATATGAGAAGATTTTAGATTATCTATTAACTCTATCAATAGAGTCATCTGTTTTTTTTAGTACTGTCAATATTAGTTATTAATTTGAAAAGAAAATAATCCAAAAACAAGAAACTGAACTAAATTGTATATAGACATTTGATTTAATATAAGAATTCATTGAGTAAAAAGCAAAAATAAGAATAGTCGAATATATATCATCGAGTGTGGATTTTTACAAGTTTTCGAACCTGTTTTAAAAAATATTTTTATAGTGTTTTCGAAAAAAATTTATTATCGGTCATGATATGGCGCCGTCATGGGTTATGCTGTTCGACAAACTATAGAATGACCTTGGATAAGTCACTAACAGCTGTTTCTCTTGGATCATCCGTTTGATAGTATGCTGATTACGTTGTGACATATTCTATTCAAAAGTACAGTTAGTCATAGTTGTAGGCAAGATATTGAGTTATTAAATTTGCTATTAGGCAGCGCTCCGTACTACATGATAGGAGTATTCTTTCTTTCTTCTGGTCATGATGTGGAAATGTCATAGAATACTTTCGAACGTATGTTATCAAAGATGTGTTTATATCAGTTTACAGTATTTACGTGAAGCATGATTTTAGAAAAAATCAGGAATTATCTGTACTGTGTAACTCATCGTTTGAGTTCACAAATAAGTTTTCCTAAGACTAGAAAAAGCTTCAAAGATTTCATGGTCATGAACATCAAAAGCTAACCTATGACCATTTTAGTGAATTTTTGACCTGAAATTCAGCTCATCGATAGATCTAAAATGATCCCTAGAATATCCTGGAAGTTTTAGGCACAATGAATGTTTATTTGTCGAGATATCCATTTACCAAGTAAACTTAATTTTTATGACACGTATATGGCAAGCAATTATTTGTTGGAAATTTAATATCTCCACAAACAAAACATTCTTTGTGCCAAAAACTTTCAAAATATTCTAGGGATCATTCTAGATCTATCTATAAGATGAATTTCAGGTCGAATCTATTGAGTAAAACAGTCATAAAATTCGATTCGAGAAATTCATGAACATGAATCCTTCTAAGCTTTTTTCTAGTCTTAAGCAAATGTTCTTGTGGAGGAGTTTAATTACAGTTATGGTAGTTCCCTCATAAGTAAACGATTTTATTACTTATGATCATTTGAGGTTATTATGAGATTTTTATAAAAACTGATTAGTTTAATTGTATGAAAATAATAATTAGTCTATATGAAATTTTTCATTCAAAATTTGTCTATGAACTTAACGTCTAGTCTTATCATTTGTTATATTTACTTGTAATTTTTCGACAATATTTGCAAGTGTTAAAAATCTTGATTTTGACGAAGTACTTGATGCATGATAATCACTTGCGAAATCTATAAAAAAAAATGAAATTTGAAAAATATTACTATTACTATTAATATTCATATTAAAATATAAACCTGATGATGTTTTTGATCGACCAAATGTTGGTTTTGGTCGATTAGTTTTTTGTGATGATGTTTTTTCAACTTTTTGACGTTTTTCATTTGATGCAGTAAAAGCTAATGCATCATTTTGTCGCTTAAGAAAATTTGCACGTTCTTTTAATAATGATGTCATGATCAAAAAAAGGAAAATCTAAAACTCAATTATATATGATTGTTTTTTTATAATATTTAATCAATTAAATAAAAGAACAAAACAAAACAAAAAATAGATGAACTTTAATATACATTTAAAACAAACAACAACACAAAAAAAAAAACAAGAGATACTTCAGAGATTTGATTAAATATATTTTACTTTACTTATAATAATAAACATTTGCAAACAAAAAACAAAACATTTAAATACGGCCAGCCGATAGATGTTAATTTGTTTGAATAATATAAATGATAACGAATAAAAAAAGCAAATGAATTATTTTTCTTTTCTTTGTTGTTAACTTTTTGTCCCAAAGCATACATGAAAAATCAAGCAGCACAGCAGCCAAAATGAGAAATAAAAAGTATGAAGATATCACCGGCATTTCTTTTTGTTTTTCTTATGTTGTTACTTTTAAATTTTTCTTTTTCATATCACCGGACGGGGACGACAATAATAAAAACAACAAGAGCAATAACAACAGCAAAAGCACGACTTAATGTTAAAGAAAAAAAAAAAAAA